TTCTGCTATTCTATCAGTTTTCTACTGATGTTGGCTGGTTTGAAATTACTGTTTTAGCCTCCCAACAGACCTTTGTTTGTTTATCCATTTTTTTCTAATGGGGCCTCAAGTACTATCTATTTTCTCTTAACCCCCCAACTAACTTGCATTGTCGGAGCTAGGGCTGCAAACGAGCTGAGCCGAGTCGAGCATTGGCTTTATCGAGCAGGATTGACTTTTTTTTTAGCTGCTCGAGCTCGAGCTGGAGCTCGAGCTCGTCAAGCTCGATTTTTTAGGCTCGAGCTCGACTCGATAAAAAATTTCAATAGCTCGAGCTCGGCTCGAGCTCGACTCGAAATCAAAATGCTCGAGCTCGACTCAAGTTCGGCTCGAAAAATTGTAAGTAGAAAGGTAAAATTACCAATAAGGACCTATGTTAACATATATATAAAGGGTACTTTAGTAATTTAACATGTATTCGAGCCGCTCGACGAGCCGCTCGACAAGACAAAATATGGGCTCGAGCTCGACTTGAGTTCGACTCGAGTTCGGTCAAACTCGAGCTCGAGTCGAGCTTTGACTCGAGCACTCACGAGCAGCTCGCGAGCAGCTCGGCTCGTTTGCAGCCCTAGTCGGAGCAAAAAATATTTGCCCAAGGGTACATTGGATATAATTTTATTTGACAAATAATTTTGGGGCACTTTTTTTTATCGTTTCTTTGATCACAAGTTCACAACAACCTCACGAGCATGTCGAAGATTAGTAACTCCTATAATTCGATATTTCGAATATAATAGAGAAAAAAAATAAAATAATGATGTAATAGAATGAGAGTATATTTTACAGATAAATGCATATTCACGATTTCTTTTTAATTTAAAAATTGTTTATGTGTTATTGAAGGGGAATAATAAAAGTAACCATTTACTAAAAGTAGTAGTAAAAATTTTTGGAACATTTAGTGCCTACCTTTTTTTGGAAAGTTTTAAATATATACATTAATTGCTTCCATATACACGTTTTTTAAATAAGATCAAATCAAATATGATCCAAAATAATGTTTTCTTAAATAATTTTATTAAAGATGCAGCAAGTTCCCGCTCCTAAATCGAGCTACCTTCTTGACCCAAAAACCTCTATGACTTCATTGCGCTTGGCTTCTTTTGTTTGGTCGTCAATTGAATCGAACCTCACTCCTGGTTGAGAATTGGACCATGTCTAGCAATTTTGGCCAGTCTCGCTAAGTAGCATTCACATAGTTCTGGAGGCCATATCTGCAATAATTTCCTCAATATCCATTATAATAAATTCAAGATTGATTGTGATTCATGTTGATAATATTTTGGTTAAGATAAATATTATATCATATTTTAAGCTCTAACCATAATAATAACTTTTTCACAAATATTCACTTTTTATTTTTAAAAATATTTATGGAAAATCACAACAGGTTATGTAGAATTTATTCTTTCAATTAATCAGACGAAATCAAGTTGGTGAATTAATCTTTGTCAATATAATTTTTTTCTTAAGCTTTATTTCGTTTACATATAAAAAATAAATTATATTTCAAATTAATATAATTTATCATTTAAGAGATAATGATCAAAGAAATTAAATAGTTTTACCAATTGTACAAAATTAAAATTGAAAAATTATAATTGTTCTATAAGTTATTTATATATTATTCTCAACCATGATAATTATTTTTATTTTTATTTATTTTGATTTTTTCTATAATGAAATTCTTGTAAAAATATTTTTTCATTGCAGAGTATGCTAAATAAACAATAAATCCTTATAATGCAAATTAGAAAAATCTTGATTATAGAAGGGATTCAGTTTTTGGCATATGCTAATGAAAGTTGTTTAACTAGTACACAAAATTAAATTTTTAAAAAACATATGTGTATATTTTGTAAAATATTTATATACTATTTATTTTTAAATTTATTCATATATTTTGAATTGATTAAATAAATAAATAATATTACCATGCATTAAATATTTTTTATTACATAAAATAAAAAGAAAAAGAAGACGTACCACTTCTATAACATTTATAAATGATAATGACATTATATGATAACAAATTTTATGATAAAATAATAATCAAGTATTATACGATGAATAATAAAAATAAAACAGTTATTTTCTCTTATATCAAGGAATAAATATATATACTAAAATCAAATTTATATTAGTATAAATGTGTCCGTGAGATGATATATTAATTATTTTACAAACTAACTCTATCATGTTCATTTTTAATATTCTGACTAAAAAAACAGCACTGATTAAAGGAGGTGGAAAATAGATTATAACCCTATTGTTATTTAGACTTAACGCTGATTAAAGGATGTAAAAAATAGACGATAACCCTATTGTTTTTTATACTTAAATGGACAGAGCATGTCAAAATAACTCATTTAGTATCCGTATCATGTGCATCGCATGGGTTACGTATTAGTGAGATAAAACTGAAATGAATGAAAAGTATATTTTTTTTATTGACGGATGAATAAATGCGTTTAAATATGTACTTTTTTTTAACTACGAAACGATAGAGAATATTATAAATAAAAATGCAAAAATGTGCAAAGTACATAGCCCTTAGCTGAGAAGAACAGCCAACAGCTGAAAATTGGGAGGACATGTCATAAGACCGCCTAGAACCCGATTACCAACACTAGAAGACAAACTCAAAACAACACAAAACAAAGCCTACTGTGGAACGACCCCAAACGAGGTAATGTGGAACGACCCCAAATGAGGTAATGACCTCACGTAGTCGGGCTCACAGGGGCCAACGGCCCAGACAAAAAACACAACCCTGAACAACTAAATAACTAAAAAAGACATAAAGCAAAATAACAAAAAATCTGAAGATAAGCCCTTCCCCGGCTAACAAACGAGCCTGACCAGCAGAGAACAATTGATCCAAGGAAGATCCCGAGCCCAGGCACAACTACCGAAACTGTAGAACCGCATATACAGCAGTTGAACCCGAACCCCAAACCTAGCCCCAAAACGATTCGCCCCCAATCGAGAGAACGACGACACCAACTCCCACACCGTCCCAACTCGAATTTGTCTAGCACCACTAGTCAAACTCGGGTGCTCCGGACCCCACCCGACCCCAACACCAGAGAACTGAGGGTGAGAGGGAATGGCTCGGTCCTTCAACTCCAAGCTTCACCGAAGGGAGATGCCATAGTAGCCAGAGCCCCGCCCCACCTGCTGACCCTCCGACCGGCCATCACCGCTGTCCGTCGACAACCAAAACGAAAGCCCCACACGGAGCCCTACCTGGGAAGCGAAGCCGCCACCAATCATTGCAAACTCGGAGTTAGGGTTCAACCACCTCCAATCAGGACCTCCTGCAATCGACAACACAAATCACAAGACCAATCGCCGACCGAGGAGCTCTCCCTCTTCAAACGTGAAATCGCAGGCAACCAAGGGCAGGGGCTGACCTTCCAGCTCCGATTTCCTACAGCAACAGCAGCCGGTCGAAGGGACAAAGGGAGGAATGAGAGATTAAGGGCAACGATGGGCCGAAGCCTCGCCGTCGGCGAGGAAGGCTGCACGACGCGAGCATAAG